GGAGATGGCTCAGTGGAATAAGTGCTTCCCTGGCAAGTGCAAGGGCCTGAGTTCAATCCCCAGTTCCACAAAAAAAAAAAAAAAAAAAAAAAAAAAATGAAGCCCTGGCCTGGCCAGCTCCCTTGTCTGCACTTGGCCTGCATGAGCTACCTGCTCAGTATCAACACCCATACTGGGAAAGGCAGCTCAGTTCTGTGGGCAGCAGTAGGCCACTGTGACCCTGGGAGGCAGGAGGTGAGGGAGTGCAGGGCTAGCCCCTTCCCTTTGCTTCTTCTTCAATTTTAGAGCCAGATAGTCCCAAGTGAAGAGGAATAAATTGTTTACAAACTCCTCGAGGTTGGGAGAGTACCCTGCTAATGACCCTCCTACTCAGCTGCTGGCTCCAAGAGAAAAGCCACTCAGCAGCCCAATCCGGAGGACCAGCTTCTCATCCCCGCTGCTCTCCCACATCAGCTCGAGGCTGCAGTAGAGACTGCAGTACCCAGCCTGCCCATGAGGGGGCAGTGGCAGCACAGGTTTGGGATGCCCAGGCTGCTGAGACTTGGCAGAGTTGCAGGGGGGGTGGGGTGGTGGTATCAAGAAAGGCTAGGCAGATAGCTCAGTAGAATAAGTGCCTGCCTGGCAAGCACAGGGTCCTGGGTTCAATCCCCAGTACCACACACACAAAAGGCTAGGCAAGGCCTTTTGTGTGTGTGTGTGTGTGTGCATCTTTGAAACTGGTGGGCATCTTTGAAACTGAAACGAGTTTCACATACTGTGACTTGAAGCCCCATGGCTCCTGCCACCTCTGATGACAGCTAAAATTCTATAAATGTAACAAATGCCTGAGCCAAAGGCGAGGGTTTCACTTGCTGTGGTTCCTTTTGCACTCTGCTCTAGCCCTCTAGGGACTGGAGTTCCCTCTAGCCACCATCTGGTCCCTGTCTCCAGACTAAGCAGCCGAAGGTCCAGGTCCCAGTCTGCAGCTTAAGCAGTCAAAGGTCCTGGGGCTTCTCCACCCAGCAGGTGAGGCAGGGAGGAGCCCTTCCAAGCCCTGTGGGGCAATCCATGGGGGACCGAACACACCACCTGGGGTCAAAGGGTTAGTCAAGGCTGGGTAAAGGGAGCAGGACACAGAACGATGAGTGCTGTGATAAGGGTTCTGGATGGTTCCATTTGAGGCTAGTGGAATCCAAACCCTAAAGAACCAGATGGCCAGATAAGACTGGCCCTTCTCTCCACTCTAAGGGCTGCGATCTTCCCTACCCCTCAGTCCAGCAGCCTGGTTCTCAGTCATCTCGTGGGTTGACTGGAGGTAGCCCAGGGCCAGCTTCCCTTCCTTCCGAGGACCTTCTGGCCTTGCAGCTCGGGCCACCAGACAGACTTCTAGGATGTGGCCTCAGGTGCCTGACGTGTAAGGGGCCAGAGCTTGGACCTGCGTTCCCTCCCACTTTGTCACTCAGCATATGCTGGGGCTCGGTGCGCCAGTTTGTTTTCCCCCAATGCTGGAGAAACGCCCTCCAATCAGGCTAGTGGCCAGATAAGATAAAATATCTGGCGCCAGCTCAGCGTGTCCCATCCTCTGGCCAACTCTCCAGCTCCAAGCCCGGCTTCACACTATGGCACCCTTGGGATGAGAGAGCCTCCGAGCCCCCAAGCACTGTGCTGGCCACCTCCCATGTCCCCATAGTGGCCTTACCAGCTGCTTGTGCACCTACATGGTGACAGCAAGCAGCTGGCGCTGAGCAGCTCTTGCTCCCAATGGGGTTCCTGAGCAGCTGCAGAAGCTAGGCCCTCTGGTTGGGCACTCGCCTTTAGATGGTCCTTCCTGCAGCTGCCTCCTACCCCCAGCCAGAGGCCACTTGGCCACACCTACACCACTTCCCACCCCGAATGACAAGAGCTTCAAAGGAAGACTCGGAGGCTGATCAAGTAGAGAGGAACGGGCTTGGTTTCTGAAGCAGTGTCTTTACAGTGGTGGTGCCTGGCTCAGGGATGGCAGGGGGCAGCCAGATCCTCCCCACGCTGCCCAGGTCTCTAACAGTGAGAGTAGAAACAAAAATTTAAGGCTGAGGCTGCTGCTATACCTCAGATGTTAATGACCAGGAAAATCAAGGAAACAAAAATCCTTTTGAACTCTTGATACTGCACTCTTAAAAAAAAAGAAAAATCAGCAGATACCCAAACCACAACTCCCAGGATGAAGGGCACCCTGCCCACTGTGAACAGTGGTTGCAGAAATCAGTTCCTTCATTAGTTTTGGGCCAGCGGTCACATGTGAGCACCTGGCTCCAGGGTCCTTGCTTGGTGTGGGTCCCAGTGATGTCCCAGGATGAGTGGCAAGGGGTTACCTGGTAGGAGAAAGCCCTTGGGGAGGAGGAGGGGAAGAGTCCGCTTTTTCATTGGAGAGGACAGAGAAACATCTTAAGAGAAGAATGAAGTATCTAGGACAATCAGATTCATCATGAAGGGAGGTGCTGGTGCTGATTGAAACATCGATTGGTGGGCAGTGGGGTTGGGGTGGCTAGGATGGACTGGCTATAGGCTGGGCCCTTCCCCAGCCTTGGGCTGCTGCAGATGGGTGCTCAGAGGTTGCTGAAGAGTTCATTTTTCTTGCTCCAGTCCATCTGTGGGGCCCGCTTGCTGCTGCGCTTCTGGTGCGCCCTCTCTTTGGCCACAGCCAGGGAGATGTTGAAGTCCAGGATGGGGTCAGAGGAGGAGGTAGACGAGGGCTCTGTGGAGTCCTGTTTCTTGGGGCTGTCTTGGGAACTGAACTATAGAGAGAAAATGGAGTTGGACAGGAGTCAGTGCCTGGGAGGCTCTGGTTCTCAGCCTGGGTGAGCCGGCTCCCTCGAGGCTGTGCCCAGGGAAGCCAGGTCACAAGAACAGGACGCGCCTCAGCATGTGACCTCCAGGGCAGACTGGTGTGCCAGGAACCAAAGTGGCCTGGGAATCAGCGTCCTATATAGCCCAGTCCCAACCCCCGCCAGGCTGGCCTACCTCCTCACTGGTATCGCTTGAGGCAGATCTCGCCAGCACTGTCCTGGGGCTCTCAAAGGCTGCCTCACCCAGGGCTTCACTGCTGTTCTCCTGGCACAGAGAAAAGGGGTGTGGGCCAGCAGGGCAGGGGGCAGGAGACTCCTGCTCAGGAAAGCTGGAAGCCCCGTCTGAGAAGTGCAGCTCACACTGTGGTCACCCACCAAATTCCAGCTTCACTTTCTACACATTCCATAAAGGATCAGATGGTAGGCTGGTCCCATCTATTACCGAGTGGGAGGGTTGCGATGAAGGGGGGGATTGGCTGAATTGCTCCAAGTCTTCCCTGGTGCAGCTTTCATGTAATGGACTTGGAGCCTGGGTATACCAGGGGCCTTGCTGATAGCTGTGGGGGACACAGGTGGGGCTCCCCAAACCTCCTGCAGCCCTATCCATTTTAGAATACAAACAGCTAAGCAGATCCTTGGAAGGAGTAAGATGGATGGAGTGTTCTAGACCCACCAATGGGGTGATAGAAGGTTCCTAGTGGGCTTGGGGACCCTGGTACAAACTCCTAAGGAAAAGCAGACCCTGCACACTCCTGGCCTCGGCCTGGCCAAGCGGGCCTGTTCAGAAGCAAAGGCTTTGGCTGGGGCATCAGCTTGGCGCTTGGCCCCTTCCCGGGTCCCGCCGTGTATCTGGCTGGCACCTGGCCTGCTGTCTCTTCCCCAGCCTCACCCCCCTTCCCTTCTACCAGGGGAGGAGGGGCTTTGTTCTTGCAACCCAGACTGGAAGTAGCAGGGCTGGCAGTGCACAGCCAGACACTAGAGCTCTGTTCTTGGGGGGAAGAATGGCCTCTTCTGTATGGTGGGGAGTTGGAGGTGGGGGCCGGGCACCCAGGATGGCGGCCTGCACAGCGGCTTCACCAGGCCTTTCTGGAGTGACAGCCTTGGCCCTCAGCAGGGGCAAGGGTATACTGTTGTAAATCTTGGGGCTCAGGGGCTGTCTTAAGCACACTACTGCCTGGCAGCTCCCTCCTTCCATGGGGTTGGGGCCAGATTAGCAGGTATAGCGTCACCCTTACCTTCTGAATCTCCCCGTTGGTGAAGGGCTCAGGCAGGGGACCTGGAAGAGGAGGAGAGGAGGTGAGGCCAGAAGTGGTAGAGAGCAGTGTCAAGTGCAGCCTGCTCAAAGGCCAGAGACGCTGCTTTTGGTCAGATCATCAGATCCTGCACCCGAGGTCAGCAGTTAAAACTCTCGACTGCAGCCCACTGTAGGGTCGTCTGACATTTGCGCAACCCCAGGACTCACAAAAGATTGTGTGGATGGCAAAATTCAAAAAAAAAAAAAGAAAAAAAAAAAAGAAAAAAAAACCCAGTACCCTACCGTTGTGCAGTGCTCGCTGATATTTTCTATTAACTTTTATTTTTAAAAAATGTGCTGGTTTCTATCTAAATAAACTGGTCTCAGGAGTTATTGGTGGGTCACAAGGAACTAAAAAGACACTGTCCTAGACGGAGTGACATTCTAGGCTCACTGCTGAACTCCCACCTGGGAAGCCTCTGAAAAACAGATCCTGGGGACAGGCCAGGGCCCTAACATTGTTCACATGCATCCCAGGTGACAGTGACATTATAGCAGTATTAGGGCCACACCCAAGATTATGGTTGGCAGCTGCCTGCACTGAGAGAAAACAAGCCCAGCCCCACTTGCTATCTGGAAATGAGGGGCAGGAAAGGCGAGCGGGAGAGATGCCAGGCCGAGGGTCAGTGCCCTCCCCATGGCTACAATGGGGCCGTCCCACTTGCGGCGCCTAAACCTAGGCGGGTTTCTCCTGAACCTCGGGCTTTTATAATTCATGTGTATCTTTTTTCTTATTCTTGTCACTGGTCCAGACCTAGCCAGGTATACCCGATTGCGCCTTTTCCTCCCCTCTGACATCTCTCGCCTCCCTAGGGCTGAGGGCTAGGGACTTGTCGAACAAGGGGACACTACTTTCCCCCCCCTCTGGCTCTCTCTGTGTATGCTGCCAGGGAGAGAGGCAGGGGGCAATATCTAGGAGCTGAGCAGAGCCCAGATGTCAGCTGTGTTTCTAATACCAGGTCCCCAAGAGCAAGGTGGGGCTTCTCTGGGCCTCGGTGTCCTCACTGAGGAAGGGCATTTGTTGAATTACGGGGGTTCTGTGCACCTGGAGAAGAACTAACTGCCTCCCCCCACAATGCCCAGAGACTGCTAAGGACTTCTGGGAACTGCCCCCTCATCTAGGAGTTCCCAGGACCCTGGATCAGGTTAGACAAGAGACAGGCCTGCCTCATTAGCTTCTTCCACCTTGGGATGTGAGTCATGAGGACTCCCCCTCCCACAAATATAGCCCTGACCTTTGGAGAGGCCTCACCCACTGCAAAGTCCAAAGACATTCCACCCTCAGGATGGCTCAGGGCACCCCACACCCTGAGCCATCTTCACAGAGAAAAAGTCCAGGCAAGGGAACAGAGGCTGCTTAACCCCTCCTGTCCTGGGGCCCCCTTTTGGCTCTGCTTGGGCAGGGAGAAGTGCCAGGCTTGGCAAGGGGAACATGGGGGAAGAAGGGGGGGAGAGCAGGGGCGCAGAAACTGAAGGGGACCCACTGCTCTTTACAGCTGCGTTTCCAAGACAACCTGACAGAAGGGAGGGAGAGCTCTAGCCCCTGTCACTGGACTCTGATCTGACCAGTACAGGCTGGAGGCCGCCCCAGAATTAACCCTTATATGGCACAGGCACTGCCCTAAGAATGTGCTGGAGAAGGGGAGCTTGGACTGCTCTTTGGCTATGCCTTAGGCTGGGGATGCTGAGGCTCTGTCCTATCCCACCCGCCATCTGACCTCACACCCCACCTCTGAAAGCCACCACCCATCCCTGCTTCCTTTCCCCATTATCAACCAACCCAGCCTGAGGAGGAGAGTCAAAGCCACCCCGTGGGAAGCTGCCTACCCCACAGCTGGGACACAGTAAAGTCTGCTGTGGCCGTGACTTCGGGGCACCCAGCTGTGCCGGTCACTCACCGTCCAGGTGCTCCTGAGATGGGATCACTTTGCACTTCTTGAAGAACTCATCAGTTTCTCTGTCCACCACCAGCAGCTTGGCCTCATCCCCGCCAGCCTTGATGGCAGACACGACATCCCCGTGCTGCTTGCCCTCCATGCAGACCCCGTTCACCTGTGGGGCGGGGGTTAGCGGCACAGGTCTCAGTTGTGTGGGGGACAGGAGGAAGGACCCAGGGCCTCCCTTGCCCGCATGGTTCTCAACAAGTGATCCTCCCACTTGACAGTGGGGAGGCAGGACATGTGCAAAGAGCCAAAGAAAATATCCAGACAGAGACTAAACAAACACAGCTGTGCGGGACAGGACGGAGGGCTTGGGAGGCCTGGGCTGGGTGCTCCTCCGACTTCCTCCCTTTTCTCACATGTAAAATGAGACCTCTTCAGAGAGCTGATCTGTGTGCTAAGGTTCTCAGACTCTGATTGTGGGACCAGCCCAAGCGTATAGTTCACGTTTCCTCCCTTCTGAGGAGCACAGCCTGAGAGCAGAGTGTAGCTCAAGCCTAACTCAGGATGGAGTCTGTCCCCAGTCCCTGGCTCATGAAGCGCTCAGGTGGCAGGGAAGCTGGGAGTGGCATCTTCCTGGATAAATGGGTGAACTGTGGTGGCAGGGGGCTTGCTCTGGGTAGAAGATCGAGGAAGAGAGAGTGGACAAGAAGCCAGCCTCCCGGTCCCTTTATGACCCACCCTTCTTTCTCCTATTCACCTAGGTACCCAATCACCTACCCAGCATCTATGGGTTGGTTACACCCCATGGGCTAAGGGTATGATGGCTGCCCGAAAAGCTAAAGTCTGGGGAGAAGGGCGAGGTCCTCACCTCCACAATGCGGTCTTGGGCCCGCAGCCCAGAGGCTTCGGCTGGGGAACCTGGGTCCACCGCTCGGATGAACTGGCCTGGCTTGGACTTGTCACTGTGCAGGTTGAAGCCATAGCCGTTGGCGCCCTTTTTCATAAAACAGATCCGAGGCCGAAGCTCCAGCTGTAGGGATAGAGGAGAGGCTGTTCCGCAACGACCCAAGTCCTTCCCTGTCCTCTGCCGGACTCTGCCTCTCCCAGTACCGGAGGTTTGGAATGATGCAACTGTGCTTTGATCCCCCATTTCCTATGGAATTCTAGCTTGGGGGGGTGGGGGTGCAGATGACCCAGCAAATGCCAAGCGCTGCAGCAAGCTGCCCTGGGCCCTGGGTGCACAGGTCAGTTTGCTCTGCTGGTAAATGAGGAGTGGGACTGGAGGAAGGTCAGCTCTCAAGTCCCTTCCCCCATGTCATTCTAAGGGGTTCACAAGTTATTTCAGTCTTGTCCTGCTTTTCAGAGCGGCCCTGGGATAGGAGGGATGGCAGGGCACCGGTCAGCCTGGCTGGGTATCTGAGGACCCCTGCTCTTCCTACCTGTTCTCCACCTGGGGAGGAAGGGGCAGGCATTTACTGAAAGCCAGCCAGCATATTTACAGTAAAGTCTTCCCTCACTCATGCAGGCTCCTTTCTCTCTCCACCAGGCCAAATGGATCAGTTCAAAGGGAGCTGGGAGGGGCCAAGAGATGGTTGGGGCTGGGGAGCTGGCTTAGTAGAATAAGTGCTTGCCTGGCAAGTGCAAAGACCTGAGTTCAATCCCCAGTTCCACCAACAACAACAACAAAAAGAGCTGGGAGGAGCTGGATAACTAAAACCGGACAGGTGGCACTGTGAGGGGTCCTGGACTAGACAGGTCCATCCTCAGGGGCTCTAGGTCTAGCCGATGATAAAGATGGTGACAGAACCCACAGCCCCTGCCACCAACCCCTAGGAGCCAGATCAGAGAGGAGGCTGTGAAAAGCAAGGTTGGGCCAAAGGAAGTACAGAGTGGTTGAGTCCCGGGAAGAGTGACCTACTAACAAGGATCACTACAGATTTCTGACACCCTGAGTAGAAGCGGTTTGTCACCACCCTCTCTCCAACTTCATTAAGGCAGCTCGGTTTGAAAGCCTCAGCACCAGGACTCAAGCATGCCAGAGGATTGGGGCTCGGTTTGTCACCACCCTCTCTCCAACTTCATTAAGGCAGCTCGGTTTCAAAGCCTCAGCCCCAGGACTCAAGCATGCCAGAGGATTGGGGCTCGAATGCCGCAGGAGCCTAGGACTCCTTCCTCCTCCCCTCCCCCCAGGCCTGGGGCAGGACACTGGCTGCTGTCCACCCTGGTAGCCCCAGGCTATCACCATGCCCAGCAGGCAATGAGCTCCCCTGCTTAGGAGCTGTGTGACCTGGGGCACGTCATTTCCTTCTCCAAGCCTCAGGGTCCTCATTTACAGGCCATTGTGGGTGCCACTTACCTCTTGGAGCTGCTGCAAGGCCCAAGGAGATCATTACACGCGTGGGAACCCTCTCTCCCTGTGAGTCCCTGCGCATACCTGGACTTTATCTTTGTCCTTAATACCGCTGCAGTCATGTGAAGCTGAGCAGTGGACGGGTGGGGGAGGGTGGCGTGCCAGGTTGATCTGAAACCCAAATCCCCAGCTGGGAGTGGAGGTAAGGGAGGGGTGGGAAGGGGTGGAGGGGAGGCCTTACGAGCCTCCTGCCCCAACTTGCCACCTCCAGGAGATAGCTGCCATAGGCAGAGATGTGACCCCACCCCTCTCTTTTGGGGTAGGGGACCGGAAGGAGGTTTTTTTTTTTCCTCTGTAGGCAGGTCTTTTGTATTACGGCAACAGCCTAAGAGAGGAAGAAAGGGTCACAGCTGCGACTTGGCTTAGCCAATCGGAACTAGGGGCTAGGGGCTCCTCACCTCAAACAGTGGAGACCACTAAGTGCCCCGCAGAAAGCGGGCACCCGGAGAGGTGCCAGCACCTGTTCTCCTTGGCCACCCTGTTCCTCACCCCTCCCACACCCCTGCTGCTGGGCTCTCGCTCTGGGAGCGAATGGAGCTCTTCTCCCCTCCAGCTAATCTACCCGCGGAGTTGCCAGCCAGCCCTCCCCCAGGCTGCCTTGGTGAGCGGGAACAGGTCTGACCAGTCGACACCACCAAGACTGGCTCAGCTTTCTGCCTCAGCCACACTGGGTAATCCGTCTTAATCTGGTCCTTCACCCTGAGAAAGGGGGAGGGTGAGTCCCAGCGATGGGGAGGGGGCCCCTCTAATGTTCTGTCCTTCCCCACCTCTCCCTATTGTCCCCTATTCCAAAAAGTCTTCCCGTAGCAACATGGCCGAGGCTTGTCAGCTGTTTTTGAGATGGGAAAACTGAGACTTAGAGAAATCAAGCCCACGTCTTGATATTGCATAGCCAGAGCTGCAACCCATCTGACCGGGGACCTACGCTTACACCACACTGTGGGTTGGTCTTTAAGGACCCAACTTCAGAATGGGGTACCTCATTCAGAGCTGAGTCCCCAGCAGGCAAAGACACAGTGAAAGGCAGCCAGCACTGGTTGCCGCCCCTGCAGGGAGGCAGCCTGGGAGGTGATGAAACCACAGCCTTCCTTCCGGGTGCTCAAGGCCTCTTGCAGCGGTGCTGCAGCTTGTGCAGAGGGATAAGGCTGGCCTGGGTGACGGGGCAGTAAGCATGCTTGGGCTGGAACTGCGGCTGCAAACAGGCCAGGGGACAGGGAGCTCTGGTGTGCCCTGTCTGGCAGGGCTGGGCTCACTAGCTCTGTGATATATGCCACCTTCCTGTCAGGACTCTGTGCTGCAGTTTTCCTGTCTGTGTCCCAGCAAGTCCTACCACTACCCTTTGCTTAGTGACAAGTGTCATCAAAGCTCCAGGGCTGCCCAAAACTTGTATCTTTCTGCCATGTACTGGGACGTGCCCTGGGTGACTGTGTGGAAGTTTCAGAGCCTAAAGACAGCAGCGCAGGAGGACTGGAAAGCCAAGATAGCCCCAACCTCACATAGAATCATTACACAATAGCCTCAGCTGGTCCCTCTTCCCAAGTCTCTGGAGACTCCTGCCTCAGAAAGGGTGATGGGGGTTTCCCACACTTCCAGGGGACCAGCCCTCTAGCACCCCCTACCCTGTCACCCAGATATACCAGGAGGTACCACTGGGGCTGCTGAGGCAGCTTACAGGTGGCCCACCCAGCCTGGGTGGAGCCAGGAATCCTGTGCCCCTCCCTGGGGGGCTGCCCCGGCCATGTGGAGGCCTGGCTCTGGCTCCCAGGCCTGGCACTGAGCAGTGAGATGGGGAGGAATGAAGCACCTGGTGTAGCTGGGCCCAGCCGCCGGGTCCTGCTCCTGGGGGAAGTGGAGAAGTAGTGGCAAAGTCCAAGCCATCTTGGGTTTCATGTGGCCCAAGGGGCTAAGAAGGGGACTTATGCCCTAGTAAAAGATGGAGGGGTACAGAGCGCTGGACGTAAGGGGGAGACTTCAAGGGAACACAGCCCCAGTGTCTGCGCAGGGTTTCCTAACATGATCCGGGGCTGGAAGAAACCAGGATCTACTCAAAGGTCCAGGCAAGAGCAGCAGCACGCAGCAGGGGTCGCTGTGCAAGGGTCCAAAGGACAGGCCTGAGGCTCACTTTCACTTCCAGAACAGAGCTGTCTGTACCCTTCTCACGGGCCTTCCCTCCCCTCAGGTCTTCATCCCTCCTCTCCTCTACCCTGAGTGGAGAGTGGCCGCCCCATCATCTCCACCCACGCAGCTCCGGGAGCGGACAGCCGGACAAGGAATTTAATAGGTGCCACCAGCAGCCACCTGGAAAGCTGGGGAAAGTCGATACCCTAATCCCAATGTGGTCTCTGGGGAGCAGGCCGCTCCCTGCTCCTGCTTGGGGGACGGCTATGGGCAGCTGGGGGCCAACGCCCCACAGGGTCCAGCCCCTCCCTGGCTGATGCCATGGTGATGGGACTAAGAAATAACCCAGCAGCTTGCGGGCCTGCATCACTTTGCAAAGGCCACCCAGAAGGGGTGGGCTGCGGGAGCAGGAGGACCCTCAGGCTGGGAACAAGAGAAGGGACCTCCACCTCCCATGACTGCCCTTCCCCCAGTGCAGCCCAGGCCTGAGCTCTTTTCTTTATGGAAATAAGGCTGGTGCCCTGCTGCTGCATACAGGAAAAGCAGCCCAGCAACAAGAGGGCTGGGGAGAAAGCGGAGACCCTAGAGGGAGGAGCTAAGTTAGGAGAAAGAGTTATGGTTGCTCTGGGAGGCAGCTTAAATTTTTCACAAAGTCTGGGGACACGGACTTGGGACTGGTGAGGCTCTTAAGGGAAGCTAACAGGCCCTGGTTTAGGGGTGCTGAGTGACAAGCAGCACAGGACATTTCCTTAGGGCTGGCTGGGAAGGTGCTGAAGCACTGGGCCAATGTCCAGGTCTGGAGGCGGAAAGTGTTCTCACCCTAGGTAAGACACACTGGCTTGGCTACTACTGGCCTGAGGCCCATGGCCCTCATGTCACCTCATGTTCCCTATAGGCCATCCTACCCTTGCGTCTGAGCAGGCCGAGGAATGTGGGACACCTCTGCTTGCAAAAAAGGGTGCTATCCCTAGTCCTTGAGCTTACACTTCCTGTTTCCCAGGGGGAAGGCCTTTTCCCAAGTTAGGCTGGGCAAACCAGGAAGATGACACAAGTTCAAGGATGGGAATCCTGAGCCAGGTCCCGCCTCTAGCCAGTACTGTCTTTTCCTAGTGCCAACCAGAGGCGGTGATGGAGAATTTGGCGCAAGTCTTTCCAGGGCTGAACAAGCTTGGGATGGAGCAGGTTGGTACCTGGGCTGCTGCCCGGCTGGCCACCATCCGGAGCTGGCCGTCCCATGCCTTCCCTCCTGGCCAGCAGACACTCCACCATCATCCCTCAATAAGGACCTTCAGAAGCTTGTAAAATCAGGCTCAACAATGAAGCATTTACTGAACAGTTACTATGTGCGGGGCACTGTCCTAGAGACTTTATGTTTCTTAGAGAACCCAATTATAGCTTTGCAAGGGGAATATTACTGGCTGTTTCCACAGATGAAGAAACTCAGGTTCTAAGAGATGGAGCAAAGCGCTCAGGTATGCCCAGGTGAAAGAAGGTGGGATTTT